AAAGAAGTTTGAGAACACGGGGTGGTGAGCCACTAAAGCTTGGGAAACTATGCTAATATATATTATCTACAATGTTATCTACTATGTTAACATATATTATCTATAACTAGATAATGAATTCGTCCATCTCCGGTCTACCGTGTCGCGAGGACCCAGTCCCCTGGATCACAGCCCCAATTACAAGAATCGAAGATACTTTTTTCGCTTCTCCCCTGTATGATCCAGCTCGACTGGAACAGAAATACCGGAAATAATAATCCATCAATGGTGTGATTCTCCTTCTGAGAAGAAGTTGTGTGGGTCCTTCCTGTGATTACTTAGTACAACGTCGATTTCTGGTGAACCAAACATAGCGTCCGTCGACGAGTAGGAAAGGTATCGAAGGACACGTAGAAAAGAGAGAAAATAATCCTCGGAATATATGGGTATATATCGATACACAGGAGAGAGGTTTGCGGCCAGGACCAGCGGGGTGAAACCCCACCATCCTCTTGCCCTTTTCCCGATCGAGGGATGGCTGTGTGTGGGGGGGTTGAAAAGTTAGGGGGGGCAGCAGAGAAACGAAAACAGAGGGAGCTGAAGTGCGCGACAGGTGGAGAAACACCACCACCACCATCACGGATTGGGGAGGATTTCGGGGGATGGTGAGGAGAATCCAGCTTGGCTGATGAGCCAGAGAGAGCGATGTAGGAGGAGGGTAGCCTAGCGAGAACGATCACAACGGCGGAGAGGGCGATTGTAGGGGGGAGAGATTCGAGGGTGAGAGTCGACGTAGTGGGGGATGGGTGGCAGAGGTTCCCGTGCGTTTCGTTGGAGAACTCGCAGAGCACACACCAGACAAACCGTAAAGGTCGTCTCGTCGTCGTCGTCGTTGCTCTCTCTCTCCATATCGGGGACGAATAGAAGCCGCCCCCAACAAGAGCACCAGCTGGCCAGAGCCAACGTCAGCAGCAACGAGGGAACGGATCCACAGTCGTCCACCGTGTGCCCCAGCATCGGGATCGTCATCCCCCTCTGTGCTCTGTCTCTGGATTTCACTACTCGAGATCATCTGTTTGGCTACCAGAGCAGTCGGAATAAATTCGTATACAACCGACAACAACATCCCTCTGTGTGTTATATATTGGAGGGAAAATATGGAATGTCTCGACGGCGGAGGATCGTTCGAGGACCGATTGATCGATCTATTACGAACGTTGGATCGATGGAAAACCAGTTTGAAGGACGAGGAGGAGGAAGAGGGTGGCGGTTTCGAGGCGACGTATCAGCTGAGAAGATGGGCCAGTTGCTGGAATCTTCATGATCGTTGGCTCGAGGAGCCTCTGCGTTGATCGACGACGCACCCCCACGGTGTTTGGCGTGAGTAATCTCGAGGAACAGATTCTTGTAGATTCTCTTTGAAAGCTTCTCTTTTTTCACCCCTTTTTGTCTCTGTTGTGTTTCCCTTATGTGCGCGTCGAGTCCACTGTGCGTGTGCTCGTTTCACTCGATGACATATGAATAAACTTTCGAAAGCTTCTATTCTTACACCTGTTTTTCTCTGCCGTTTCCCTCGTGTGGATGTGTGTGTCGAGTTCACTGTGTTCTTTTTCAAATTCACTGGATGCCGTATGGGTACACTCTGCGAATGCAGATTTTTGGGGGTTGATTTACAGGAACTGGAGTCAAACCTGGATCCATTTACATTATTTACTGTTCTATTAGGTTCCAACGAAAATAAGAAATTTCTTCGAAATTTAGCAAGCTTTTAACCCTTTTCAGATCTGGTGGTCATATCTGTGTACATGAAGTTTCTTACAATTTCATACAAAGCCTTAGGTACAGTTTGTTGCAGACCCATATTTTTCTTATAAGTTTTAATTGTTTCATGTTCTGAATCCTTTCAGTAGGTCCAGTGAATTTAGGATTAAATAACAAACTTCTAAACAGTCTATTGCGTTAAAATGTGTAATCAAATATTTGTTTATACTTAAAAGAAAATTCAGGTCTGAAAGGGTATAGTGAATTCTAGAGAATCGTCTGTGTACTATAAATGCATAAAATCTGCAGGCAGCAATATGACTAGAGTCTACTATGTGTGCTCTTTCAAATTCGCTCGATGACTGTATGCCTGGAGCACAGCCGCGAGGCTGTAAAATAATATATCAAGTACCGATCGGATAGATCACAAGCATCATCAGTTCCGCTTGCTCTATGCACTGCTGTTGCCTTCTGTGTTCTTCTGTTTTTCGAGGAACGGGGTTGCGCAACCGGAAAACGCAAATTAAGCGTGTAAATACGAAGGCCCGTTGCTGCCCGCGTATATTTGCGTTCTTGTATTGTCTCCTCGTTGTGTGTTTCCTCCCCCTTTCTTCGTCCGTCTTCTCGAGGAAAAAATTGACTAAGAATCGTCACTTTCGAAACGTCGAAATTTTTTGGTCACGAACAACCAACATTTTCGCGTTATCGTCGAGAATGAATTATTTTATCGAATTGATATCGAATGGTTGTGAACTTTCGTATCACATGAATCATTTCGATTCAGTCAAGATATTTTCATTAAGCATTTTTATTCTGCATTTCCTAATTCCTCATATATTTAGTCCCTTCAGAGAGGACAATCGAGTGGAATGGGTTGTAGATGATATTCTTGTTGTTGTTTTTGTATGGTAATGATCAGATATCAGTTTTTTTTTTTGCTTTTGGAATATAAATCACCGGAGGTAAAGATTTCATCGATGAACCATGTTTTTTTTTTATGTTTTGCTGGGAAGTAACAAAAGGGAATAATTGCACCAGCCAGCCAGCCGCCTTTAGCATTTATGGCCTTTTTATTGGAACGGTTCGAAGTGCATAACGCCCGCAGAGCTGTGTAATACTGAGTCACGTCGAAAGACACTTGATTAATTCACGCGGAATCCGATGTAGGTGATGAGATACATACAAATTAGTCTTAGCTCCGATTCTGGACCCTGTTTATTTCACCGAACGAACACGCCATATGGTTTCGTCGTATCCGATATATTATCAAGCGATCTCCGGTGGAATTTTGTATCGACTTGTGCAGAATTCAATTTGCAGACCATACAAAACCAATCAATTTATTTAAATTACTCTTTTTTTTTTTTAAATTTACTCGAAACCTGTTTCAGTGGGCTATTTGAGCGCAAGCTTTTGTATTCTTAGATCTTTTCTTTCTAACCCTAGATAAGTGTAATTACTAAAATATATCGACAGGTAACCTACAAATACGTCTCAAATATATTTTTTCCTTGACTAAATTAAATCATAATGAGAATAGGAATATTATTAGACCATATTTCGTTTATTTTATTTAACCAAATCTGAAAAAGGATTAAACAGTAACGAGTTCGGGGAAAAAATGGCGCGATTCTACATATTTCGGCCCACACGTAATAACTCAAGCACCGAGAGGGGGACACAATGGTCGGCCTGTACGCGTAGTAAATAATCTTTTCTATCCTAGAAAAAACTCTTCGGTATTTCCCTTGGCCAGTAAATCAAGAAAAGCAGACCTTCACCCCCTCCCCCACGGTATTCCAATTTCATTTTTATCGCGAGATGCAATTTCATTTCACAACGTGAATTGTGTCTGCTATTTCACGACCAACTGCTTTTTACCTTCGCCCCCTACCCCTACCCCCTACCCCTACTCCCTACCCCGGTTTTTATTTTCACGAGAAACAGCGCACCGTTAGATAATGTAGAATCGGATAAGAATCGGAGATGGACAGTAAATCAAGATAGTTTGAAATTGCCGCGCGCGTCACGCGGACGGACGGGTCCATTGCGACGACAGGCGCAACGATGTGAACGGGTGGGGGGGAGGGATCTTATTGGTCCGTTCCGCGTGCGCGGGGTACGATGGCGCGGGCTGAAGACGAACGCGCAAGGACGAATTATATAATTCGATACACGATGTCCCCGTCGATGACGATCGAGTCTGAACAATCCAGTGACTCCAAAAGGAATTGTAATATTCTTCTTTCTGTGGAATTGAAAAAAACGAATCGTGGGGTGGATGCAACACCCAGATAGCACATGACGCTTAACCCCCATCTGTCCCTTGTGTCAATCTGACAGTTTTCTCCTAAGAAATGACGTTATTCTGTCATGTGTAGGTAAATTTAGATGATACTTCGTGATTTTTACTTTGACGAATTTGCAAACTTAACGATTTATCACTTCATTGTATTAATTTTTACCACTAGGGCAACTTGACACCGAGAGACAAAGTAAGTTGGGAAAATGAGGGACGGAGAAGGGTTAATGACGTCTACAAGACTTCTTACAATGGATGGCTTATTTTTGACTGCTTAACAGACATACGAAGTTTCACCAAAATCGGAGGAGGACACTTCCTTGCCTTCCCTTGTTGCGTTCTTCTTACTTCCCTGTTGTTATTTTTCTATGAATATTACGGTTTTAGTATTTTACTTCATGTTTGGTGTAGTACTAAACGGCGCAGGGGGGGAGGGGAGTCTTGAACGATGCGCTTGTGTGGCGCGTTCGAAGCCAAGGTCAGAACCGTGATGTCGGGGCGATATTATCGATCTTCCTTACTATTTATTCCGTAGAGTTGATCGGTTTAGTTAGTGTCAAGCTCGTATGTGTCTGACCTTGTTTCTGAATGATTGGGGGGATTTGTTTTTTTTTTCTTTTTTTTTTTTTTTAATCTTATTCAGTGTAATTCACAATTAAGGTGTATTATTACAATTACAAAATTCGATAATTCCTCAGGCTACTAGAAAATTTTATTATACAATACAATTTAGTTTAGTATACATTCAGTGCTGGTAATTCCAGTGTTAAAGTATAATCAAATTTACATGAGCTCCTCGCGTTCTTCCTTTCCGCGTACCCGTGACATTTCTCTGTTCTTTTAACAGTGGTATATACTACGTCTAACAACGATGCATTTCGTTTGCTTGTTTTTTTCCCGGTTCCTCTCTCTGCCGACGTCGCGCGACGATCGATGACGCCGATGGAATGGGACGCAGTGAGCAGGCTCCATTGCGAGTCCGAGTCCTTCAAGATGGACTTGATACTGGACATCAACAGCTGGCTCTACCCTATGGAATTGGGTAAGTGTTCGATGATTATGAAGTGTTATGGAAATAATAGGACTCGATGTGGAATTCCTCCTTTTCGAAATGAATTTGAATTGAAAATTCATTTTCGATTGAAAATGATTTCAATTGAAAAATCATAGTCGAATGAAAATGATTTCAATTGAAAATTTATTTTCGAATAAATCGCAAGGTTGTCGGGTAGATGTCCCAATTACTGCGTTAGGTGGGACACCCTATGTATAATATTTCCATTTTATCCTTCGAGTGAGTCTTCCGAAATTAGAGGGAGGAAAATTCGCGAAACTTTTATATTCGAGGGGATAATAGGACACGAGACTCATGGTCACGTTTCACCGTCTTCTTTTCAATACTGAAAGGACAAAGGAAAATGTCGAACCTCTCTCCGTGTGTAACCCAAAACGCCGCCCGCCTGCCTTCAGCCAGCCATGTTTCCTCTATGCTCTACAAGGAGAACTTTTACGCGAAAAAGATATTCTCTCGGTTGGATTTGACGTGTTTTCATGACTCGTGTGTGTGTGGGGGGCTGTCGTCGCGAGAGGAAAGCAATTAAACTGTCTTCGCCGACGATGACGGGGGTTAGGTTGCGCGCGCGCGCGCTCGAGTCTTGCATCCGCATGAAAATTCTGTTTGCCATATCGCTGGAACGCCTGTCACAACTCCCATGTTTGTTTACACTCGGGCCCGTCTCTCACGAGCAGCACCGTGTGTGTCTGTGTGTACTTGATCGATACACTTGCAAGCGTAAATTTTACAGAGTGGAAGGGAGGGGGAAGAGGAATTCGTCACCTTCAGTAGGGATGTTCGATTCCGATTCGATTCTTTAGAATGTCGATTCCCTTGGTTAACACGTCACTGCCATGAATAACACATACGCTACCGGCGAATACAGTAAATCCTCGATGAGTGTTCAAAGGCTCCTTGGCAGTGACAACAAGAGGTCTTCAGGTGTAACGCTGATTTTATAATGAGGTTTAGGACAGTTGTTTGTATTCCACTGGTGCCTTGCTATATATCAAAGATTCCTACATATAATTATATTTCGAGGCTCGTTCTTCGAGATTACATTTAGTAGTCCACTTTGTCTTGACAGTTACTCAAACGCGCGTGAACGTTTTTTTCCGTCAAAAAAATTACATTTACTTCGATTTATTTGAAGTTAGAACTACGGGAAAGGGAAAAACGAGATGGCGCTCATTGAAAAGTAGAGATAGGAGTAGAGAGAAAAGCAGCAGGGCAAGAAGTCCCGTCGATGTTAAAAAAAAAATGATTAAGAGTCATCGAGGAAATCCTGCTTTATCCTGTAACGTTATTAAGAAGTATAATTATATTTTCATTTAGGTGCCAGGCCGTTACCATTTTAGCAATCGGGGAAATATTCGGTAGACTACTCCCGCTTCATATTTAGATCCTCTTCTACAACGAAAATATCCATCGTCCGGCGGAGGGGGGGATTCTGAAACGTAGAAGATTTATTTACGCTCGTGAAAGTTACGGAACGTCTGAGACGACGCATTTGGCGCAGACCAAAAGCTGAGTTTTCTATTCTCCTTGTTGAGCGAATTTTCGAGAGTTCTCCCGCATCCGGTCGAGCCAATCACCACGCATGCCAAAACCATCGACACACGCCAAGATCGTTCACGGAAAAAGGAGACGTGACGAGGCGACGATGTCCGTCTCTGTCTCGAGAACGTGAGCATCGTTTTGTGTGTCCGATGAATCGATATATCTTCACCGTTCCCAGGGATAAATCGATACTGTCAAGGTATCGATACTTTTTACTCATAACTTGTATCGAAAAAAAAGTATCGAAATCTACTTGTATCGAAGGAAAATGAATACAAAGTTCCTTTTTAATAATATATCATTTTAACGAAGATATATATTTCATTAATGAACATTTATTACCGAAGGCAAATGTTGCTATTAATTATTAACAAAGTAATATACCTGTACTACAACCAGCTTCACATTCATTTAACTTTCATATCGATTACTCGCTCCATTCGATGTGAGTACTATTTTTTTTTCGATACCCAATATATATCGCAGCCGACAGTATCGATACTAAAAATACCTGGTATCCAAGCGGAAGTATCGATTATTTACTTGTATTTACTTGGATCGGTTCTTCCCCCCCCCCCCCCGACTCTGGTGGAACGTGAGAGAGACACGTGTTTTCACGCTCACGGACACACGTGCCCCCTGGGTCAGGCTTTTTATTCCTGTCACCCTTCCTCACTTTTCTGGCTAGACGTCGGATGGACGACCCTGGTAATGGACACTCTGGAAGGAACGTGTTGCGCGCGCGCGCGCGCGCTGGGCAAACTTATCCCCGGCGCTTTGTAAAATGCTCGAAGCTGAGAGAGATCTCCGTTGCTCCTTTTGCAACGGAACACACCTTCGTGGCGGAGCACGTGATAAAGGGGAATTGAAAATTATTGTAAATGCCTGGACAAATTACGTACCGGTTGCTACTTAACCCTTTGCGCTCCGTGCATTTTTTGGCGCCTGTAGGTAGTCTCTACTCCACGGATTTTCAGGGAAAATAAATGGAGATAATGTGTTCTTATAGGCACTGAAATTTAAAAGTCTATTAATATATTGCTGAAACGTATATTATACTATGAAATGGAGCAAAATTCGAATCTCCCCACATGGTTTATTAAAAATTGGCGGGTACAATTAGTGATGTAAATTGTACAATTATTATAGAACTATTATTGTTAAATTATTTTTATATTAACAATATTTATTTAATAATATGTATTTAAGTGTGTTAAAAATTAATGAGCACATACAATGACACTCCTAATAGTGTTTTTTTACTGTGGTAAGCTTAAAAATTATTTTCTTTGATAGAGGTACTAAACAAAATTTGTAGTTTCTAAATAATAATTTTTAACGTTTCATCATTCAATAATAGAGGTTGTACCGTTGTTAGTGTTGCATTAGAATGTTAGTAAAGCATTGGAATGTCCGTTATTTCATCCCCATTCCGAGATTTCGGACCGTCCGAGGATAACATCAGATTTGTCGGTGAATTCTGTCGTTTATTGTTCGAGTTCTAGTCACAGGTCAAAGAATTTTGACGGATTATACAATAAAGGGGTTACGGAAAGCGGCGACATTAATCTTCCCGACAGACTTAATAGTTTGTCGTCCCGTGGACTAATGTAGACTTGGGGTTAAGACTCGTTACCAAACCACGTTGGGGGGATGTTCGTGCAAATTCATACTCACGGATAAGTTTACTCGAGACAGGAAATTAACCCTCGTATTCCACTTCACGTAGTTTCTGTGTGTGTGAGGCTGTACGGTAAAACGGACATAATATACACATAAAGATTTTATTGTAAAACTAGTTAAAAATTATTACATTAGAGCTACAATAATGTATTAGGTATTTAGGTGCTTCTAGAAAATATTGGGGTCAGTTTCGCGTCTGAGATATTCTAAAACTTAAATGTCCCATTTTGGATAAAAAATTATACGTCCCCAAGGCTTTCGATATATTCCTGTACTATGTTTTTCCGTATACATACTATCAGTGCTCTGTATTACTCTTCAATGCAGTCTCTATACTCCCTCCTCTTGATTGAAATATCCTGTAAATACATCAAATCCAGTCTCCGCTCGTTAGAGTTTATTGGATATTAATCGAAAATTCGAAACAAAACGATTTATACCAGTTTCCCAACTATGTACGTCAGCCCCCTCTGTAATCAGGGTGGCGGAGAGAGATAGAATCGGTATTTCGTGTGATACTGTTGCACCATGGGCAGGGGGGGAGGTTTGGTAAAGTGTGCCCAAGGCCACGTCACGCTGCAGCAAAGCAACCCCCTCCCCTGGAAACATCGTCATTTTAACTCGGCCCCACGGACAGTTCTGGATCTATCCCCGTTGATTCGGTCGCTGCAGAGGGGAGTAGTGGGTGCGTCACACCCACTCGTAACCAGCGAAATGGGGGTGGGGGTTTGGAGGGGGGGGGTGCCACCGTCCCCCCCCCCCCCCTGTCACTGTGTGTGTGTGTGTGTTTACAGATTGATATTCTTTCTCTCCTACCTTCCGTTTCGCGAACAGTTACTCCTTTTCTCTGTGTCTCGTTCGACTTTCAAACTAAATTTCAATAGCCCCCCCAGCAGACCCCAGCTTTCATTCTCTTTTGGTTAAGTCGCGGGATTGTTGATTCATGGAAACTGAAAACATCGCATCTGCACAGGGTACTTCTTGACACTCGTGAAAGCTTAAAGGATTTGCTGGTTTAATTTTCGAGTCAGAGGCAATTGAAAGAGTTGTCCATGTTGATTCCATCTTCGTAATATCGTTTGCTTTTGAGGAGTATTCACTGGAATGCTTGGTAGCTATGGTGATGTGGCCCTGTGATATAGAAAAAATAATAGTCAGGATTTTATTTGAATGAACAATTCACATTTAGATAGTGTATAGAGGCTTGTTCGCAGCGACTCGCTGAACAATTATCGGATCTTTTATATATAGTATTTACGGCAGTTATTAGTCACTTCTATCTTCCTACAACAAAATAGGCTTCAGTAAACGTACTGCTGTTACATAATACTTCTTAGTTCTGGATCAAGTATCATCTTCATTCGTTTGCTCTAACGTAAACAAAGTTCTATAACGTAGCATTGTGTGTATTAGCTACCTTGAAGTTTTCTTAGTCTGTAATTTCACCCTCTTGTCATATGTGCAGCTTATCGCGAGACGAAAATGTATATTTAACTTTCGGTAGGTAATTCTCTACTACATAGACTTCTTAAAGATTATCCCACTCCCATACAATTATCCATACAAATATTCCAACAATTTATCCTACTTTCCATACACGAGCCAATATATCTGCAGAGGACACGTATCAATTTCTCCATTTCGTTTTCAATTTTGCGGCCACAGCGAGAGTATTAAATCCCCCCCTGGATTCAATAAATAATCTTTAGAGGAGACCGTTCCGAATAAAAATTGTTTCTCCGTAGAGAGAGAGAGGAGGATAGAGTGAGAATTTACCAGGGAGGAACTCGATGTGTGCAAGAGCACGAGAAGCGCATGATGGGGAGGGAGGGAGTGAAGGTTAGTCCATAGGGCCAGGCAGTCCCGCTGTATTGACGCACGGCGCGCACAGGCTTGCGCGAGATGACGCAATGCTCTCCCCTCCCAGGTCCCTCCCCGCCCTCTTCGTTCAGCTCGTAGCACATTCTGCGAGCGAGGCCCCCCACTCCGCGTCCGCCGGTCTCGCCCCTCCCTCCTGCCTCACCCGGCAGCTCCCAGAAGTTCAATGCCAAGGTCAAAACGGCCACGGCTCGTAACCGCGTCGGACGGGCGCGATACTCGTTCGCCGTCGAGAGAAGAAGTGTTCGTGTGTGTGTTCCCCGATTGTGCCCGCGTGTCGTCGTTCGTCGTTTCCATTCGCCGTGTTGCGTATTCCACGTTTAATCCTACCCATCTTGTGTGTGTACTTTTTTCCCCTTTGAGACGCCTTTCTGCTATACCCGGGAGACGACGTTTCTTTCGTTTTTCTTCTTCCTCGTTCCACCTCTCTTCTTTGCGCGACTAACCTACATACGGGGCGGACATGTTGAATCCCAGCGTGACGTCAGACGGTGGTGCTTCCCTCAATCGGGAAGAAAAAACGAAACGAAAGTGGCCACCACGGAAATCGACGACGTGGTGAACAAAACGCCGCGCGCAATCGGTCGGAAACGTTCGTCGGTTATCGCCGCCCGTTACGCCCGAGAACAGCCGCCTGGTGCGGAGGCAAGGTCGCGAGGACAGGTCCTGCGAATACACGCGCACACGTATTCGGGAAGGACGAGGGGAACAGACAGCAGGACGTGTCCTGCGCGCGGGGCGAACACACGGATGCGTATCGCCCCCGAAGAATGGATATAAACTTATTGTTCGTACTCCGTCGTCTCTTGCTTGGCCCGCGGTGTTCGTGTTTGACGTCACGGGGCAAGATGGCGGTTTTCGGTAGCCCCCGGGACACAGTTCGTCAAAGCTTCCTGCGCCGGGATGGTCGACGATGTTCCTGGATGACACGGTACTAGACTTATCTTGATGTTCTATTCGTGTTCGCGATTTGTATTAGTTAAATTATTTGTAGTTCCTGCGGGTGCGATATTATAATTGGTTTTCGTACCGAGTTTTCGCGTACAGTGAGTGATGGAAGCATTCGAACGAGAGAAAGAGAGGATTGCACGGTTATTGGGTCAGTGCAGAAGTCTTGATACGATTTTATTAACATTAGTATTCTGGCATTACTTTTCATTCTTACTCCAATTGTGTAGAATACACCAGAGTGCAGGAAGCTAAGCCTAAAAGTTACTATTTAACACTAGAATTACCAAACAAGTCAAAATAACTTTTCAGTACACTCTTACAACGATGATTAAAATGTTATAACATTACATTTTTTTTTAGAACTTTTGCAACTTTTATTACGATATGAAAGTGAAGAAGTTAATTAATTTATAAATATTCAAAAGTTTATCATATTTATCGATCGATCAAATTAGACATCTGCTTATCATCGGTAGTTCTAGTGTTACATTTGCGTGAGGTCCACAAGGTTCAAGATACAAGAACCATGACATTTGTTAAATTACATTTCTGCTTCTACCTAACGTGAAACTTCCAACAACCCAGTGCATAATTCACCTACAGGGTTGATCGAATAGTGAAATCGTTAAAGGGTTACATCTCTTGGGGGTGCACAGTTCGCGAAGCGTTAATGCGTCTAACTGAGCAAACGAACGGTATATACATGAGACGTCACTGTCAAGGTTACCGCTTTAAATCACGCGAACACGAGAACATCTATATATATATATATATATATTCTTCGCTCTTCGTCGTTACATGGTTTAATGTGCCTGGGGATATATGCAATACGGTCGTGCATCGTTCAACGAGATAATCTATAATCGTTGTAGCGCTATTATGATGTAAGCCTGACCCTAGACTTCGTAATATGATCAATTGGCTATGGAGATTCTCCAACTATGCTTCGTTCCGTTTGCCGCCCGTTTCTTTTCCTCCTCTCTCGACACTGCCACGGCCGTCCCGTTATCGATTTTACTCCCTGTGGCGGCTCTATATCTACCGTCTCGCGATATATAGCATGGACTTAACCTTGACCCTTGCTCCCCCGACACTTGCGCCGAGGACTTCGGTTAGTTTTTCGCGGCGAGAGGCTTCGAGCGTTTTGATATATCGTCTCTAGCGGGTTTTCGTCTCGTATATACACACGCCTCAACCATATTTCTTGTTTCGACAATGATTTTTGTCCCCGAGTTTTTCTGGCCCAGTTTACGTACCCACGCGTGTTCTCTACCCCTCCATTCTAGACTAACCTCTCTCCAGCTGCCCGTTTTTCTTCGCCCCTTTGTATACTTTCACCACGTTTTTCGTGTATGCTCGGGGTATGGTGGACATCTATTTCAAAGGATCTGACGCCTATCTACACGTTATTGTGCCACTAGAGTTTTCCAGTTATATTAACAGATTCTTTCCTAATAAAAGGCAGTTAGCATACGAAACGCCATTTTGTTGAAGCATTGTCACGGAATACAGACTCCTCTCGATTATTGTCTGGCTTGTTCTACACGATTATTGTCCAGGCGTCAAGTGCACACTTTGTTGCCGAGGCTCGGGCTTAGAGCAAAAAACGAATTTACGAGGGTCTGAAGCATTTCTTCCTATGTGATTATTGTCCCGACGCGGACCCGAGTTCGGGACAATAATCGAGAGGAGTCTGTATGTAGATTCCGTGGGTGGACGTCGTCCGAATAAAAAAAAACTAAATGTCTGTGTTAACTACTGATTGATAAGGAATCTTTTGATATTCTTTTCATGCAACGAATTTTTCTTTTATTACGTCCAGCAAGGTATTATCAGGTGTAGATTCTCCAAGTGTCGTGTCCGTGAATTTGTGAACTGTTGGAAATGTTAATAGGAATTTTGCGCAATTATAACAATTGTTTTCGAGTACGTACTTACGTGATACATAGTGTCTGCGTACGGCCATCGTCTTGTCGTGACAGTTTCCGAGTTCTAATTACCTCACGCTCTCCGATCCGTTGCATAATCAATGGCAGCGGGTAGATAATTGGCCAACACGGCTTTACTACAGTTTTCGTGCTTCGTTCCACGATATGTGGAGGATGTGTCGCCGCACGGACGTCTTCCGCAATACGACGCGGACGGGTGCAGTGGAACCAAAATCTATTCAGAGCAAGTGCATCGTGTAGGTACTTCACGAAGGACGCGGGAGAGTGTTACGTTTGAATAATTCGCAACAAATAAAAACCACTGTAAATACACTTTTAACGTAATAATAAATATACAGTAGCGGACAAAAAAGTTACCACTATTTTCGATCTGTTTTATTTCTATTATTTTTTTAAGCATCAACTTAAAACTTTCAGTGTGTGCTTAACACTAGGACCTACTAGCGTTGAATGTATACTAAATTATATTGCGTAATTAATATATAATACAGTATTGCACGGTATAATGTAATGTAAAATACGTAACAACTTAAAGATTGATCTGGATATCTACGGAAACGTAATTTTGACGGGTTTGGTAGTTCTATTGAAAGAGAATTGATAGCTGTATAAAACCCAGTATATGAAGGTTAAGTTTGATCTTAAAAAATAATGAAAATAAAACAAATTAAAAAAGTGGTAACTTTTCTGCCCACTACTGTGCATGTATTAATAGTGACATCAACGTATTATATACTATATTAAATAAACTGGTAGACAATACTTAAAAATCGTCAGCCGCCGTCTTTTTAAAAATGGCGGACTCCGAGAATGCTACGGAAACAGCGCACATATGGATCCTCCGACGAATAAATATCGAACGCGATAAAAAAAAAAAACAGTAGTGGTATCCTATTGGTATACATTACCTTTTTTGTTTATCTTTTACCGTTCAGTCAGGCTTTTTTTTTCGTTTAATCTTTCGGCGCGTTAAGCCACAAAGCCGAGAGATTTTTCCATCCAGATAACCATTTTCGTCTCGCCCCCATCTCTCTCCACAACGGTATTCGTGGAAACGGCCAGACATGGCGCGCGCGCGCGCTGGTCTATTGGTTTACGCGATCAACCGTGAATCTCGTTAAACGTGCCGTGTCTGCAACGCCCCCCGATGTATTTTCGATGCAGTTGCCTTGAGGTTTATTTTTAAGCCATCAGTTTTCCTGTTTCCGCCGATCTGCGGTCTCTATATGCCGCCAACACACGACGTCGATACATACCCGTATCCCGCCAATCTCTCTGCGTGTGTGGGCGGTGGAAGGCGGGAGGGGGTGGGAGTAGAGAGCACGATAACCGTTACAATCGGTTTTTCAATTGCCCTTTTCGGCTGTTGCAGGTGATAAATTTCGTCTGGTTCTCTCGACGACCTTGAGGGAAGATGGCTACCCGGATGGAGGGGAGTGGAATGCGACGGAACAGGAAGGCGGTTCCAGGGCGGACAGTTTCGAGTACGTGATGTCCGGCAAGGTTTACCGTATCGAGGGCGATGAGGCAAGCAACGAGCCCAGCAGCCGACTGTAAGTACATACCGACCAAGAAATTCTTATATACAGGGTGGGTCAAATAAGAACTACTATCTAAAATAAAGTGATCCCTTAACAGTTCTTATTGACTCACCCTGTATACAGGGTGGACTACTATATGTGATCAGCTCGGATTATTCTACTATTAGCTGGTTCGATCGAAAATGTATTTTCGGTAGTGTAACATGATTCAAGATGATTGTACCAAATTTTGTGCCAACCCCATCTTTTGCAAGGTCACCTTCAGTTTTTTCGTGTATAGATCAACCTGTAATTTTTTTTACGCCCTTTCAGTGGATACTGAAACGAATTTGGCAAGCATCGTAACAAATAATGTTTCTTCTTTGGTTAGAAACAGTTAGGAAACTACTGCTCAGTTCTATTTATGACATCTGCACTGATGGTTACGTGCAAAAATTTCCGATTGAACAACTAGTTGTAGAATAATATAAGCTGATCACGGTTTCGTGGTCCACCCCTGTATACACTTTTTTGAAGTTCGTTCACGGTGTGTGGTGGTGTTTCACAGGCAGAATAAAAAGTTTAAAACGTAAAAATCAGAAAGAGAGACAGTTCCTCGAAACTTTTCTTCTCCGTGTTATAATCTGTTGTGTAAACACGTTGACTACTGTGTAGTGATACATGTCCAAATCATTCTATACAAGTAGACTGTCTGGATTTTTCAAAATTACATTTTACAAAATAAACATACATTTTATAAAGTACTTTTTTATAAAATTTACTACTTTTGTTAACTTAGTTTGGCTAGTAATAGGCGGAACGTGGGTTACAAACTACGAAAAATCATTTTATTCTGTTAACGATACCCACCCCCCGTAGTCGTCCTTTGTTGTTATACATATCTCGTGCGTGCGTGCACGCAAAACCACGTCACGCTGTCGTGACGTCACTGGCGCACATCGAAGCGCACGTAATCGTGCGCACTTTCTGCTGTGAATCTCTGATTGGCCCGCTTCCAGTGCTCAATGAACTCTCTCTCGTGAATCTCTAAAACAAGTCCTGGGATTTCCAGGAATTTTCACGGGGAGCAACAATATTGCATTAACGTGCTCGAAAAAATAAAAAAACAAACAAGAACAGTATAAACGTGTGCTGTTCGTATGGTGCAAGCGAGATCAAGACGCTAGAACTACCGAACCCGTCAAAATGACGGATTTCAGATTTCCAATTTTACAACTATTGAAATCCTAAAAATACTTCCAATCGGAATGTATATTAACCTCCAATTTCTTACACACTTTATGTTATAGTATACTAAACTATATTGCATTATAAATATTGCACAATTTAACTTAGTCTAGATTGAATGCTGGTAGTTCTAGTATTAAACTACCAGGGCTTACTACCAAAATGGAACAAGACCTATACTTACAAAGCATTTAAAACGGTTAGTACAGGAGTATTTCTAGGTATTCAGCGATTAACAGAATTGTGAAATCGTAAAATGTATTTTAAACTGTATTCGGACGGTAATCGTAAAAAAAAAAAAACACTTCCTCAAAACACGCGCGGGGAACGTCGGTTCGCCCGGCGAACCAACACGTACGGAATTCTCGGCGCGTGTTTCGTTGGTGGGGAGTGGTGGAGGGGGGTAACAAAGAGAATGTATGTGTGTGTTGCATCGTGGGGAAAGAGGGATTCCGCGATAACACTGTGACTTGACCGACTTATCGTTTAACCTTGAAACAGACGCCCGCGAACACGCGTACGCAAAGACCGCCGCCGTTGGATGTTTGATCAGAGTCGCGCAGGTTGCGCGAATGCGCGCACCCCAACTTTTTTCTCCCCCTGCGCAATGTGTTTGCGCTCCGCAATTATCGCCGAATAGGAAAAGTGCGCAGAACGTGGCCGACGCTCGATAAGATAAGCTTAGGGAAATAATTCCAAAAGGAACACGCGGCTTACGACACCTGAAAGCCTCTACAGTAAGAACTGGATTATAGGAATGTGTATATTTATTTATTTAATATCGTCTTTATTAATACAGATGATAAGGATGAACGGGATTATATTAAAATATATAAGGGTTGATTATCGGTAAGATTGTATTGACAGAAAAATTATGAATGTAGGTGTAGGGGGTGTCATTCTATTTTTTTATTTTTTTTAATAGGGTCATTCCACGCGAAATCGGACACTTTGGAGCACCATTTTGAATTTTGTTCAAATTTCGGTATGTTGTAATCTTTAGCGATATATAAACGTATCTCGAAGGATTTTCGAAAATTTTTAAAATGGTTGATTTTACACCTGTTTGAAATTTAGGGTCAACCTTTTTTCAATGAATTTATTGAAGTAACAAACTGATCGAAATGAGCTTTGCGGGTACTTACAGTGGAGACATAAGAGTATCAAATAAAAATTATTTCAGTTAAAAAAAATATTTTTTTACCACTATTTAGTAGGAATAACTATTACCTCGGTCAATTCTGACTATTTTGTTGTGATCCCATTCTCACCCTCTTCACACCTTATTGTCTAACGGCCACCTGACATCGTTTTCCGTCGTAGAAATTAATTGGTCGGATGTAGACACACTCGTTGTCTCCCGGCGTGAAGGAACGATTGTAAAATCGATTAACTCGGTGACAGTTTGCAATTTATTGTCCGATATACATATATACAGCTAGTGGTGTGTCCGCCTGAATAGCAGCAATTCTCTTCTGCAGCCCCCTCGAACGCCCTCTCTTTGCTATCGATTTTACGGATCTCCTTGTTTGACACGTAATCCTCGTTTCGCTATCTTCCTGTGTGTGTGTGTGTGTGTGTGTGTGTGTGTTACGTCTGCAGCTAAAACAGTTATCAGATATATTATTCCATATCCTGTGTTTCTATCGCATCGAGACCCCTGATCAAAGATCATCGCCATTTTGCCGAAAGAGATCATCACAGACGATCATCTGTGTGTGCTCGATCATGCTCATGTCGCGATATTGAATTCCCTTATCCTTTGATCTAATCGTACGCCTGCAGGTAACATTTAAGAGACTCATCGTGCCTGACAAATAGGTCGCGAAGAAATTTTTTTTTAACCCTTTTGAACCCCTCTGAAACGATGCAATAACCGCCACAGTACACGGCGCACTACACTGTCCACTGAGTGGCTCTCCTTACTACTAAAAATAACTCACCCAAATTGTATTTTTTATTATTTTGCAAGTTATATTTATTAAAACAGTAATTTGCAAAATTTATAATGTGTGGTGATAAATGGTGTCGGTGTTTTACCCCCATGCTTTTTAAAACTCCATTCACGTCATATCAAGAAGTCGCAGAAAGATGCGCGTACACACACGACCCCCATTCGGAACAAGCTCAGTCGGTAAGAGCGGAATAGAGGAAACATCGAAACTAGCTATCGGAGAACAGGGAGCCACTCTGCGTTCACTCGGTGGGTAATGAAGCGGGTGAACACAGCTGGTGGTATCTCAGTTTTCTGAGGGCGTTGTCGACCCGCAGATAAAGACTTACCAGCTGGCACCCCTGGTCAACGTTTCGATGGACGAACAATACTTTGCGGTGGAGATCAAGAAGCTGACCCAAGAGAGAGATCTTATTGGAGCAATAGAGAAGGGCAACACGTTTTTTCCATGAAAGAAGAATATATGTTTCCGAACAACAGTGGTATCCCGCAGGTTTACGTGGTATTTCCATTTATAAAAAAAAGGATTGAGGAGAGGAGAATAGCGTGAAGTACTCGTTAGTACAATTAATAATTCACATGTTTGAGGTTGGGTTCTCTGTCGGTATTCTCAGGCTTGAACATGAAGAATCTATCTCCTATCAACCTAAACGCTCTAACTTCACAAAATAACTCAAGTCATTTGAGCAATTTTAAAAAAGTTGTTCCGTTTTTAAAGGTGTACGAATACTTTTGACACCGATTGTATATATATATTTTCATGGAATATGCACGCACAAACAGTGCAGGGGTGCTCACGACGCTAGGATACGCACAAGGTCGTCCGGGCTGTCAAAATCAGCTGACGCTCCGGTGACCAATCAGCTGACGCTCCGGTGACCAATCAGCTGATCCTCAGCAGGAGACGCTTCCTCTCACCACTGGCCTATACAAGGCTTGTGGTGAACACAGCGCGCACGCTCATTAAAAATCAATTCCATGTTCCACTATATCATGCTTTCGATTTTGTGATACAAATATCAAGGATCATCGTAACATCGGCCATTTTTACGTGCAACAAAACCCAATCCAATTTGGGCATTTGAATTTGATAGTTGACTAGAGATCGTCTAGTCTAGAGACTGGTCGACTAACTATAGACTGTGTTTCGAACTAGGAATCAAAATAAATGGAAAAACTCGGGCTCCGGGCAAAAAAATTGAATTTATGAGGGTCTGAAGCATTTCTCCCTATATCATTATTGTCGCTGCGCTGACCTGAGTTCGGGACAATAACCGAGAGAAGACTGTAGAAAGAATACTGAGCGAATGTGCGACCGTCTCAATAAACTATTATTATTATTATTATTAAGAAATGGGGATCGTGAACCACCTGAAATAATGGACGTTACATCACAACGTGTGAAGTAATGCGTGAAATAAACCAATTCGGTTCGTTAATTTTCTCGATTATGGTCTTTTCCATGGGCGCGACACACGCTAATATGATTATTCGCTCAATATCCACTGGATATATGTTGCATCCATTAGATACGACGAACCAACGGGGTGTCCTCGGTGTGTGATGACATCGTTCCTTTCCATTATCGCGATTAAATGTTCCCTGAACGGAACGAAAAGTACTCGTGGTAGAACATTTTCCCGTTATATAGAGAAAAAATTCCAAATTCCCCCACCCCCCTCCCAGGAGTAGTGACTCGAGCGTGTGTCCGGTGATTAACACGTTCAGGCTCGTAGCTCTCGTAATTTCCTAATTTCTTTCGGTTCAGTGCAGTTGTAATTCACGATTAATAACTCGACCAATCGCAGGCATGCGGAAACTTCGCATGTTC